TCTTAGGCTACATTTGAATGTGTGCACAGAGTGCTTTTATGAAAAGCTGGATCTCAGGAGCATAATCTACTGTCATTTTGTCACCAGCTGGGCTTGGAGAGCTTGAACCTGGACTGAGGAATTAGATCCCGATCCAGGAAGAGAATTAAGCCTATCTGTACTTTGCTGGGCCAGGGTAGAAGCACTCAATGCCTTGTAAGCATGTGTAAGCAGAGGTTTTTCTTAGATGAAATTGTTAGGAAATAGGAGCAGAGGAGGGATAGAATATTATGAATTCTCCAAATTATTCTGTTGGCTTCTACTTTAACGAAGAGGTAGAAAGCAAAGCGACGCTCAGTAATTTACCCAGTTAACAGTATCAAATGTGTGTTAGGAACCTCTGCTAAGAGAAAGGACATAATCTCTGCTTTGAGGAAAATAAACTGCCTGCCAAAACACTCTGTTTTCCAGCAGTAGAAGGTGCCACAGCCCATAAAAGCTCCCTAAATCTTATCCTTTCTTGTCCCATACAGATTTAGTCCCATATGGGACATACAGCTAAAAGTAGCACCACATCTTTCATTCCTGCGCTCGCTTCTCCTGGGTTTTCATCAGTAGAACTTCAGGGAGCAGGAGCAGAAAGTCTTTCTCTACAGTCACAATGAAACCTAAATTGCATCTCTAAGCCAAAACCAAGATTACTCCCGCTTAGCTTAGCTTAGCTTAGCTTAGCTTAGTTTAGCTTTCCTTTCCTTTCCTTTCCTTTCCTTTCCTTTCCTTTCCTTTCCTTTCCTTTCCTTTCCTTTCCTTTCCTTTCCTTTCCTTTCCTTTCCTTTCCTTTCCTTTCCTTTCCTTTCCTTTCCTTTCCTTTCCTTTCCTTTCCTTTCCTTTCCTTTCCTTTCCTTTCCTTTCCTTTCCTTTCCTTTCCTTTCCTTTCCTTTCCTTTCCTTTCCTTTCCTTTCCTTTCCTTTCCTTTCCTTTTTTCTTCTCTTCTCTTTTTCAAATGAGCAACTTGGGTTCTGATATTTGTAGTGGTAGGCAGAGTTTTGTAAGGCAAGAATTATTTTGCTTGCCTAAGAAACATTTTTTTGGTAAAAACTAAGGTATTTCTGATTTATGACCCAGCCGCTGCCACTGTGGATATTCAGAATCTCTCTTTGCCAATCGTTTGCAAAACAGAGCTGAAGGAGGTAGGACGTTCTCAGCTTTGAATATTCTCACTGGAATTCGTTGGTATCTCCTTAACTGACTAAAAGGAATGCTGCAAAAAATGCTGCCTTTGAAGCCGTTTTAGTTTATCAGGCAGCAGGATGGGAGAAATGTGCATCCAGGACTCTCACACAGCAGAGGGAGTTGCAGTCCCCAAAGGAACAGGAGGCCAGAGCTTTTACACAGTTGTTTGAAAAAATTATTTCTTGATATGTTTTTCTTTCCCTTTAGATCAGCAGGGAAAAAATGTCAACCTAAACTCTTGGGGAAAACTGAATCCTTCACATACCTCTTTTTTTTTTATTATTATTAATAGAGTTTAATGAAGGAGTTCAGCAAAGCGCTGTGATTAAGGTTGATGCCAATGGCTGCATCAGGATGGTCTGTGGGCACTGTGTTAATGCTAAAATGCAGGGAGAGCAGCTCACTATTTGTAGTGTTTCTTAGTGCCCCAGACAGTGGTTTCCTTCTCACTTCCAAGCCAACATAAGCCCAGAGCGTACTGGCTCGGCACATGCATCTGCTGAGTGAGTATATGGTTATAAGAGGAGATACACAGGAGGAACAAACCAACAGGCTTTAGAGAAACATTCCAGCTGTGAGCTTTCTTAACGCATATTAATATCTTGAGTTAATTCTCTCCTGGATAGAAGCTGCTGATGAGATAGAGGAAAAGCTGTGGCATCCTCCTTTGTTTCCAAATAAGTCACTTTTTCCTATGAGAGCCGCAAGTGTTATTTCTTCTTTCAAGAATGCTCTCGTATTCATCTGTCACAGCTATCTCACAGCACATCTTTTTTCACCATATTTTTAGCATTAGGACTCCACATGTAATAGATTATTCTTATGTTGTTTAGACTCAAAATACGGATCATAGATTTCTTAAAAAGACAAAACCTAGTAAAACATTTAAAAATATTTTATTAGTGCCTGTTGACTGGGAAGAGACGTCTGATTTTCTCTATGTAAAAATACTTAATTCATGCATCTCCACTTCTATCATTGATTCCAAGGTTGAAAAGAAAGGAAAAGTGATATTTTTAGTTTATTATACATATTATTAGCTATTTATTTGTTAACGATATTACCACATTCCTATCTCAAGCTGTAGCATTTTTTTTTATAATTAAGAGAAAGGAGAGAAAAAAATCCCAGAAGCAAAAGGAGGAAATCAGTTCCTTCTTAGTCATAGGTGACCATCAAAAGCCCTGAACAGTGGGGTTAATTAGGTAAGTCAGTATAAATAGTACAAGAAAGATAGTAAATATATCAATAATATTCAGAATCACTCCTTTGCTGTTATCTTTTCCTGCCATGATTTAAGCAAGCTTCTTGAAATAATTTAGGGTGCCTGTACCATTATCTTGTCTGAAAGGCTGTTCCATACCTTCATGCATCTGGAAGTTAGAAACCTTATCATAATTGCCTGGCTTAGGGGAAATTACACTCCTTTGACTCTGGACCAGTGTTATCCTTTAACTTAAATAGCTCTATCTCTCCCTGGTAACTACTCTTCATATGTATTTTCAGAGAGTAATCACAGTACTCAATTCTTTTAACTTGTAAAACAGAATTTCTATACCCATGGTCACCCCACTAGTTGTCTTCTGTACCTGTGCATGTTTTTTAGCACAAACAACTAGAAACATGCACCGTGCCCTATCTGAGGTTTACTGATGCCTTATGTGGTGGCACTAATACTTCTTAATATCTGCTGAAAATATCATCATAGCACTTTGCATTATTCATGGTTCATAATACTGGAGTCATGCCACCCCTTGAACTCTCTCTTCCATCCTGTGCTCCCAACATCATAGCAGAAATTCTTGTGAAAATCCTTAATGCAAGACTATGCACCTGGTAGTCTTGCATTCTGAGTTATTATTCAGTTAATCGAAGAAAAGGGTCTAGGCTGAAAGGAGCAATGTTCCAGTCTCATTGACAATACTGTGGCTATCATGAAAAAGACAACAAGTTGCCTAGTGGCAACTCGCACACTAGGCTTTCTAGTTGTACTCATAGAATCATAGAATGATAGAATCATTATGGTTGGAAGAGACCTTGAAGATCATCAAGTCCAACCGTATACCCGATGCCACCATGCCCGCTAAACCCACTAAACCATATGTTGAAGCGCCACATCTAAACATTTTTTGAACACCTCCAGGGACAATGACTCCACCACCTCCCTGGGGAGCCTGTTCCAATGCTTAATGACTCTAACAGTGAAGAAGTTCTTTCTAATGTCCAGCCTGAACCTCCCCTGGCACAACTTGAGACCGTTGTCTTACGCACAAGGACAGCCGTACCCTATTGCAAAGGACAGTACATTTCAATACATGTTGTGTTAAACAACTTCCTGGAAGAGACAGGGACATCAAGAAATGAATACATAAAATCTAAGTTATTTGTGTTCGTTGTACCTATTCTGTACTAATTGACATCTAATAAACCTGCACTGAAAAGTGGCCCATTTGTTCTGCCCAAGTGAAATTAATTTCATGTTCCAACTATAAATTACTGTTTTTTTTCAACAAAAACAACAGAAAAGGACAAGGACAAATGGTAACAGTGTCAGAGAGGTTGTAGTAAGTACGCATTTTTTAAAAAACTTATAAAGTCACTTATGAAAAAATCAGAGATTTCCAGTGATCCAGAGCATAACTGCATCCAAACCTCTTTAATTTTCATAGAATGTGGCCACGTCTTTTCCTGTTAATCATGCTAACAGGCATTATCTGATATATTTCCTTGGCATGCATACAGATTGGACTGTAATATTCTGCAGACCTAGAATGTATTTATTCAAGGGTTTTACAGATCCAGTTGTAGGTATAGCAGCCAAATGAAGATTTTGTTAGTGGATGTTGGTGCTTCCTTTGCAATGACATTCAGTCATCTCAGACTCCAGTTGTGCTCCGTGTTATACAATAAATATTTGTTTTGTGAGTATAGGGTTTGGAGCAATTGTCTGATGACTTCCCAAAACACTAAAAATCTCAGAGAATTTCTCCATTGTTATACAAGTGTTTTCTTATGCATTTTTCTAAATGGACCAGTTTCACCTGGATTAATAGTGAATTTCCACTGTTCCCTAGATGTGCTTTCACAATATTCTATCTGTAAGCAAAGCAAAGGGATGCTTAAGTGTACATCAGAGCAGCTTCACATTTGAAATGCAATTTAAAATGAAAAAACACAGAACGTTAAAGATAGTTGACTTAGTCCAGGTGCTGGTTCTTGTTTGACTTTCAACATCTTAAGGTGGTAACAGTTCCTGCTCAGGGGATTCGCATCGTAAGAATATTAAGGCTACATAGAAATAAAGAGGAATGATTAGAGCATGAAAGCTCACCATTTGAGATTTTATAAGACGTGTGGATTTTTTTTTCCTTTTAAAAAGGCATCTTCATTCTATTGTTTCCCAAAGAACAGTCTGTCATGAAACACTGCTTCGCCTTGAACTGAACGGTGAGGCCACCTCACCCATTTGTGCCTTCCATATGCATTCCCTTCTCAGCCTATCTACCCAGATCTGCTGTAGGAGGGACCAGGACCTACTTTGGTTTGTGAAAGCTAAACATTCCCACTGTCCCTGAATGCAGCCATTAGCAGAGCATGGCTCTTCTTATAAATAGTGTATGAAAGACTATAAACAAAGCTAGGGAAATATATGAAAGGCTGCAAATAAGGCTATTTCAGGTCTACCTGTAGTTTAAACTACTGTTACTAACATTACTGACACCATAGTGTCTTTCTCATTGGTATCTTTTGTCTTTGTCTCCCTTAGCAAGAACACAGAGACTAAAGAAATGGAAAAATTCACTCATCTGGAAGCTCTGCTGTTTACTGCTGTGCTGGAGAATTGTGTCGATCAACTCTCAATTCTTGGATATATCATGCCGGTTTCATATGAGGGCGAGACAGACCTCAGCCATGTATGTGCCTCTATCCTCCCTGCTTAAAAAAATACATCTCTTTTTTTTTTTTTTCTTTTCTTGGTTTTATGTCTTCTACCAGCATTTTTAAAAAATCAACTCAGATATCTTTTCTGCTAAGTGCTCAATGACAGTCAGTGAAGAAACACAATAAATGTGCATGGATGACCAATTTTAATATTTGTACTGCAACATCACTGAGAAGCCTTTGTCAAGACTTTGTGCAAAGGACCCTACTGACCCAAGATGAGGTTCCTGGGCCTATAATTTTAAAATCTTGGTGGTTAGATGACAAGCAAAGGATTAGGGAAAAGGAAGCAAAACATATCTAGGTTCTTATGTAGATAAACAGCTATTAAAAATAAATACAAATGAATAGGATATTTGAAAGTACTCAAACCCAGGGTAATTCTGTTCCTTTCTAAGTCTGTGCTGAAGTTCCTTTAGTCCCCACAGACAATGAATTAAGAAAGATTCCACTTCAAAATATGTTAGTAACTACCCATTCTCAATGACCATTATTAATTAGTTGATTTCTAATAGGCATCATAACTACGGGGGTTTGGGCAGAGATATATAGAACAGAGAAGAAGCCGTAATGCTCAGGCAGAGGTTTGTTGCTGTGGGTTGTTGTGTTGTGGTAATTCTGGTCACTGACAGACATAGGAAACACGATGGGACCATCCTGAGGGGTAAATGGTTCTAAGTTCCCTTGTCATATATTTTAAGTGACATAGCAGGCTGTTTCCAGTTTAAGCAGGTTTGAAATTCTTTTTTAAGAAGAACTCAGAGAGGAAAAAAGTGTTTGACCAGGATGGAAATAAAAACTGGGATCCAAGTTTTCAGCTCTAATGCTGTTCACTGTCTAATGTACCACTTAAGAATGCAAGAGGAAGGTAAATCAATGTGTTGTTTTCTACGTGCTTCCTTTCCATACTACCTTCTTTTCAAAATATCCATTGCAAAGCAGCTGAAGCTGGCGTTACAGTAAATTTCAGGGCATGAACGAAGCTTAGAGTGTGCAATAGAGGGCACTCCTCCCCTTAAAAAGAGTCCTGTGAGCCTTCCTCACCTGTTTCCAGAGGATGCTTCTGCCTTACAGAGCTGAGTGGGAAACCTTTTATGTGCCAGCAGCAAAAACACAGAGAAAAAGCATATCTCTAGGATAGAAGGAGTTGTTCTTCTTCAGACACGCAGACTCAGGTTGATAGACCTACTAAAGGTATACTTAAATTATAGAGAAAACACCTTAGCTTTTCTCTTCAATCACAGATGCTAATTTTTAGCAAGTCACTTCTTAAAACACAATTTTCTTATGGACTATAAACCCGACTTCTGTTCTTAAAGATGCCAAAATAAATCGAGAAGGAAACAATTTAGAAACAAGAAAATGGCTTAGGGAAGCTACTTGCTAACTTTGGTGCTCTGTAATTTGCTACTCCTCCCTGTTTCCCAGTTTACACTTGGCTGTTATCATTGTATTTGTAGAAGACCTGTGTTTGCAAAGCACCCTGGAGCTCTGTCAGTCAAACAAATCAATGACATTTTCAAAGACTGACATCTAAATTTCAGTTGATGACATTTTTGAGAGGATTAATCACAGTGTTGGCCAGCTGCTCCATGAATTTCCAAATTGAGGACTCTTCTACATGGCTTCATGCAGTGCATCTCCCAGAGGAAGGCAGCCTTTCTATTTGCTGAATTCTGGGCAAAAGACTAGCAAAAGATAAACAGCTGGGAGACTACACAGATGGTAACACATGCAGTTTACAAACTCCTTGCTCTTACATAGTTATTTGGTAATTATTACTGTGTAAGTCCCTACTGTTTACAGACAATCCAGTTATAGCCTGTCTTGAACTTTCCCAGACATTAAAAAACATCTGTCAGAACATTCATAAAATCTGCATGATATTAAAGCAGTTTGTTTGCCAAAATTAGTTCTTTCTGAAGTACAGCTATCACCAGCAAACTATTTAAACCCTTTTTTTCTAATTAACTATGTAATTTTCATTGGTCTGTGTATACTTTGCATGCAATTCATATTATGTAAACTTATCCGTCCAAAAATTAAACATGTAGTCGCCTAGACTCCTTCTGTAGTCAGTGGTGAGTAAGGCACTGCCAGAGGCTGATCCAACCCATCCGGAGGTGTCCAAGATACTCAGACCGAAGCAGCCCTGTGCGCTGCCTTCACGGACTGCGGCAGCATCACAGACCACTCATGGAGCCTCGCTTGACAAGTAACTTCTTGGAAGTACTACTGGCATACACAGCTGCTGCCCTGACTGCTTGTTTTAACTCTGCCCTCTGTGCTGTGTTGGCACAAACGTGTGTGTGGCTGTGGAGGGATCTGGACTGAGGACTGGTGCTGCTAAAAATAAACTTTTTTTTTTTTTCCTTTTTCTGGAAAATGTTTCAGCTCAGTGAGTTCTCTAATCCATTTCCCCAGGCAGCCAGGGTGGGCAGTAGGCAGCTATGGACTAGGATGGGGCTGGCAGTGACTGCGTTAGCTGGCTTCAGCGTTACTGCTATTAAGTGTTCAGCCACAGAGATGCCAGTAGGCGGGCAAGAAAATTTTCTCTTTTAATATCCCAGTGTATACACCTGTGTGCTTATCCACAACACATAAAGCAGAGAAATTCCTAGAAGCAAGGCCTCAGTTGATTTTATAGTGCACTTTTACTTTTCTGTGGCTTTTTCTTTTTCAATAAAATTGTACTCGGCAACAAGATACCTTTCCATGTAGAAGAGAGCTACCAATATTTTGAATTTCTTCTTTGAATTCATGTTGTACTTCCTCTGCTGTCACTCTCTCAAAAAAACAGCTAAGCAGGTAGCTGATGTCTATCACTTTTATTTCCACACACCAGAATAATTTGTTCTCTGTGCCTACAGAGACTAGGAGAAGAAGCCAGGGGCTTAACTGCAGCTGAGGAGAAAAAAAACTTTCTTATGGTAAAGCTGGTTGTGACGTGCTGGCACTGGCAGGACAGCGTGTAGTCTCCATTGCTGCAGGTCACTAAGAACATGACAGGAATGATGCAGTCTGAACCATCATCCCTTGGGGCAGATGAATTCACCTTTTGAGGCCTTTTCTAGTCCTGTGACTTTAGGACTTTTGATCCCATAAACTTTAATAAGCCTACGTTTTATGCTCAAAACTAACCAACATGAAAAAGCTCTTCTACTCTTTCCTGAATGTAACATACAATATCAACTGCTTTTAGTATAGCTTCATTCTAGTTTATTATTTTTTTTTTTCCTCTCACATAATGTTGCAGAGGGTTTATTTCTACTGCCCAATGTGCAAGCAGGTCTCTCTTATTCTCTTTTAGACTGGCATCCAGGAAATTAAAGAAATCGTAGAGACCCAGAAGGAGCTGGACACTAACTACGAAGCCCCTATGTCAGCAAGGCAAGTGAGTGGGGAAAGAATTACCTCCATGTGTCTGAAAAGCATCGAACACAAGCAACAGCTGGGGAAAACTGAAGATCTAAAAAGTACCCATCATCTTTCCATCAGGGCCATGAAACACAGTGCTCTGACTGTAGAGAGTCTCAGAAAAATTCAGGCTGACAGGTGAGTGAAACACAAATGCGATGACTGTGGGGGATGCTCAGAACTGTAAAGTTCTCAAACTACCTCTTGAAAGCAAAGATACAAGCTTCCCACTCTCCCACTGCTCGTGTACTTCAGTCTCAGTCCAGAAGGAATACCTCCAAAGAGAGCAGTGGGGACGAGCTTCAGAGACCATTTAGTTCTGGCCTTTGCTTGCCTCTGGATGCCAAGTAATGACAATCAGTTTATTTGGAATGGAGTTGCAAAATATTACCCAGTTGATAATGGTTGCTTGGGTGGAATTCACGCCAGGCACTAGCCAGTGCTGATGTTCTGGTATCTGGAGTCAGGTTCCCCTAGCAGACATGTACAGGCAAAGTGGGATCTGAGCAGTCTCATGAACTCAGTTATTCTGCAGAGCATACAGAGCCTCTATGGCAGCTACAGCCATTCTCCTTTATAGAACAGACAATGTATATAAAGACCAAAGAGTCATCTCCTTTTTTTAAATAAATTTTATTCCTACACCTAATCCAGTGTGCCTTGATACCAGCAGTCTTTGGTTTAAAAGACAGATCAGGGAGCAGTGTGCATTCTTCTGCATCCTGGCTTCTGTCCTTTAATGTTATTTCAACAAAGGGCTTAAAGAAGGTCCTAACAGAAATGAGGAAAATGCAGCTAAAATATAAATAGCATATGCACCATGAAATTCAATAAACTGGGCAAGCCCATGTATTTGTCAAGATCAATTTAGGGACGTACTGGGATATTTTGGCATGCAGATATCCCTTCATAGACACACTTGTCTGCATCTCCGGGTCTTAATTTTCCAAGATCCACCTCTCTCTCTCTCATCACTACTGCAGGCCAGCAGCCACCTTCTTGATGGCAGCATAGTCTGGCACAGCATTAATATGTTTGTTCCTCTTTCCTGTTTCCTAAAGTAGCATTCAGGGCAGCATTTTTAAATTATAAACTTCAACCAACTCCTAATACAACGTTCTCCAGATGTACAAGAAGCAGATAGCATGGGAGAAGCACTCCTGGGTTTGATACGACATAAGAATAGAAATGGGATCTTATATTTCCTTACCTTTTAGCTGTAACCAATAATGGATAAAGGTACCAGACACTGTAGTACTTGCACCTATAAATTACCGTTGTGTTCCTTTTCTTCCTGGCAGGCAGTATGCAAGTGATGTAACTACAATCACTATGAAAAAGATGCAGGAACTGGGAACATTTGATAGCCTAACAGAAGCTAATGAGAGAGAGAAGGAAAAAAAGAACAAGTTTCATGACATCCTCATCAGGTCAGTGTTGTGTTCTGCACTTCCCTGCCTAACTGCTGAAAGCCAAA